ATTTTACCTAAACTTGTAAAAACTATTTTAGTTAGGAGAATTTTGAAGATCAAGTTTAATAAATTTTTCCACAATTCCTGTTTATAACTAGAACTGTGGTTGGAGTTCACCTCCAAGTAGGGATTTTTTTCATAATACAAGCAAGTAATTCTCGTATTATCTTTTTATACCACACAAGGATTGAGACATGCATGGGTCAGGAGATGTTGGCTTTACTCCTGCCCTCAGGCTTGTATAAATTCTAAGTTAAACATGAAGCGTTGTTTCTGTTTTATTATTTGTAGATGATCAGTATTCACCTACCAATTCTGGTCACTTCAGAACACAAATGGAGAGTCTCTAAAATTTAAACCCAAGAAAGTAACATTAGAGAATTGCACCATGTGGTGAGTGCTAATATTTTCCTTAGTTATATCTTCTATTTAGTAATAAAAATGTCTTACATGAAACATAACCATATTCACCCATCTGAACTTTATAGTAAGGGAAAGGAAGGTTGGGTTTACAAATATAGAAATATTAATTACCAGAAGAAAGAGAATGTTAAACTCGTCAATGCTTCTCTTGCTTAAACTGAGTGGCTTTTGGTTTTAGCATTGTGGTTTTGCTCTAATATCCATTTGCTTACAATGTGAGAAAAAAATTCCAACAGGAATTTACATCTCCTGAGGAAAAATTATTAGTGAATTAATTTGACTAAATTTATCTTGTCTGCCACCTAGATTGTTGCTGCATTTACATAGGCATGTCTGACAACTGCTGTTTGCACTATATCCACTCTGTACACACAAGAAATCAGTTAAGAGAAAGCAAACACCTATTTTATGTCACCGGTACAACTGGAGTACAGCAATGTGCTCATATTTTGCAGGCAGGAGAGCTTTGGTAAACTTTCTCCTCTTTGCCAAGAACCCTGACTTCTTTGTTTTGAACAAAACCATCATTATCTGCACCTCTTACATCAAATTTATTTGAAGAAATCCAAGTTCAAAGATCATATATCATGAAGGAAAATACATACATATTATACTCTGTGTATCACGCTTCCATCTTACTGGAACCCAAATGACTCTTTTGGAATTAAATCTTTGTTTGACAATTCACACCTAGCCATATGCTCTTCTCTAAGCCTTGCTTTTCTTCTTGCTCTAAATATAAGCCAGGTGCTCTGCAGTGTTCACCTGATCATTCCCCCAACCCCAGTTTCCTTGGTCCTCTCAAATTATTGCTGTTTACCAAGGTTTACATGCAACTTTATATACTCATTCGTCTCATCAAATCTCAGAGATGTCTCTGCTTGCAAGACCTGCAAAAATTTCTCCCCTTCCAGACTTGTGCATGAGTTGTCTTACCAATTTAATTTTGCAAGGAACTAAACATTAATACTACATGCTCACTCACTCTATTTAAACTGGCCCTTTCTTTTTTAAATATAACTACATAAATAAAAACCCAATCACTCACACCAAGTATCCTCCAGTCTTCTCTCTTACTCAAATTCTCAAATCATACTTTTAGTAAAAAAGACCCCAGGAAAAGAAGAATTTTAACATTTGTACAAGTCTCCATCTAAGGCACTATCTCCTCATCTCCTTACTGAAACCCCATTATAGTCCTCCTCTGGTCCTCTCCCCCACATTTGCATCATACACCACTGTACTCAGTCTGCAACTGCCTGGAACCTTCTAGCAACCTTCTTTGATTTAGAAGATAAAATAAAGGTTGGCCTTCCATACCCCATTTGGTCTGTCTGAGAGCAAAGTCTGCACTCATGTCTCTCCATTCCTTGGCCTTAGCATTTATGATCTATGTGATTCCTTCACCTATACTATGGATTATCTCTTTGCACCCCATGTTATACCTTTTAAAAATTTAGACACACCAAATGTTATTGGTATATATCTCATAAAACATAAACTGTGGTCCTGGGATTCAGGTACGTTTACTTAAACCAAAAACATTTGGGCACTTGACAGTTGAATGAGAAACTTGATACTTGGATATGTTTATAAATCAGAGGACATGTAATTTTAGAAAACCACTCAAAAATCTCTTCCTGACACTCTCCATATTACTTTCACTCTTCCTGGGACAACAGACATGTCATTGAGCAGAGCAAACAAATCTTTCTTCCTGTTAGGGCACAATTTGATAAAAGGGAAATTAATGAAAGTATAGAATAGAGCTCTGACTGTCAAGCTCTCAGCTTCTTAGAACTAACACCCTTTAATAAGTTGAAGCTAATTAAAATGGGTGTGGCAAAGGACTGAAATATGCAATTATTCTTAAGCCTTCATACACTTTAAGCTGAAAGTTTATAAAACTTAATTTGGATCTGGGCAAGATAATCTTGGAAGTCATCTGGAAAACACATAGATCATGGTGTACAGGAGGTGCAGCAGAAAGGTTGAGCTGGAGGACAAATGGTAAGGCTCTTAGAGCTGTGAGACTGAGAGGCAAAGATCTGCAATAAGGTTGTGGCAGAGGTGGGCAGCAGATCAGACATTACCTCATTCGACTGAAAAAGACAGTATTTAAACAAGTGCAGATGCCCATGAGAAATATCATCAGCAAGGTCGCAACCTTGAAAATATGTTTTAAAATGTCTTTCTAATTCCAACAGTAAGCAAGATAGCCACTCTTACATTTCCTGTAATCATTTATTTGTAGACTTTACTTATATGAATCCCGTAGTCAAATTGAGAAAAAAAATCAAGGAAACAAAATTAAATATTTAATACAGTTTCTTATATATGCAAACACCAATACATGATTCTGATCCTAGGACTTTAATGAGATCATTCTATAAATTAAACAAGACATACCTCCCTTGGATTCTGAATTGTTTATCTTTTCACAATGAAAATATGAATCAGAGAAACAGATATTTTCATATTTTAATTTTAATAAAAATCAAAAACCTATAAACAACAGATATGAACAGTTGTCCAAAGTCCAATACAATCCTAATAATGAAATTATCAACTACTTGACTGTGTTTATGCCTCTTTATTAAGTGAAGAAATATGTAAACTATAAGTTAATCATGGTTCATCTTAAAGTCTTTTTTAGGTAGCTGTCTCATTTCTCGTATGTTAATCTGAACACATGCATTTATAATACATGCTTAGGCAAAAAATTCCAACTACATTTAGTGGATGACATTCAAAACCAAAACAGGAAAGTAAAGGAGGGACTTATTAGGAAGGGACATGAGAGATTAAAATGCTTAACCTCCTTGTATGAAGGTATGAAACTGTTAAACAATTAAAAGTATGTAGGAAGACATGTGAAATTATTAATTAGGTCTCAATGAACTTTTGTAAGCAATCAGAGCTATGTGTCTCCCAAATTAAAAAAAGAGAAGTTAAGAGACTCAACAAATATCCATCTTCTACTCTCCATAAACTATAAAAGGTAACCAATCATCAAGCTAGCCTTTATTGTTACAAATCATTTTTAAACTCTATGGGAATGGAAATATATAGAATATACTATTTGGGGATTAGCATTCTTACTACAATATGTTATACAGATTATTTTTACTTGTACTTTTTCTAGGAATATTTTAGAATCATTTAGTGATTTTAATGGCTTTCCTGGATATTTTAGAGGTATAAAATAATGAAGTTTCCCTCTTGCATTCCTTGGGACTTCTCAAATATCCTTGCCTTTATGTTCAAAACAATAAGGGCAGAGACAGAACTATTAGGCATCTTTACACTTTTTTCTAATTTTGTCTCTGCATCATCCAAGCTATGTCCTCTACACACTGATTCTAAATACCTGTTGAAATTATCCAGCTGACCATTTGTTTGGTCAAATATTAATTGTTCACATCTGATAATCACAATATTTTAGATACTCATGTGTCAATCTCTACTATCTGTATTTATCAATAGTCTTAGCATTTTTATCTTGTGTTTTATTTTTCCTGACTTGTATTTTCTGTTATTGAATTAGGATACTGTAAAGACTCTGGATGGTCAGTGGTTCTCTTGTAATAACTGACCCCAGTCTTTGGCAAACACTAAATTTAAGTCTTTATCTATTCTCTGCCAGAAACATATATATGACTGTAGTTGGACTGTTTTCTTCACCAGGATTGACTTGTCTCAGAATAGCAACTTTATCTCTGACTTCTGTCAACAGCAGGATCCACACTCTTTAAAATTCAAATGATAGTCAATTTTGGCTTCAAAGCTCACTAGATTCCATAAAGTTCTGATTAACATCCTAGTCACTTCTGAGGAGGAGGAGTCTCTTGTCGTTGTCACACGTTTTACCCTTGGAAAAAAAGGACAACATATTTGACTCGTTCCTATACCTCCCATGTCTTTGGACATGCCAACTCAAATACTGGTAGTACAGATAGCCTTTCCCTTCCTGGCCTTTAATTTGGACACATTAAGAGGGTGAATAATCTAATAGGGAATCCATAAGTAAGGATAGAAGCTGTGCAAACTGGCTGGGGTTTCAAAGTGATGGACTGAAAATGCAGAACATACTATAGTGTAAGTGTTGCTCACATCTTTCACTGTCCATTGGAAAGTTCTTTTGCTTCATTTTAGGGCAGCTCATCACTAATTTTATTTGTAATTCAATAATATTTCCACTGTTAGAATCAAAACAAGAAAGACTAGGTATAAAATATTTGTATCTTATCTGTCTATCTTTCTATCTATCTATTTGTTTATTTGTTAGTTTGGTTTTTTGAGACAGTGCTTTTATGTAGCTTTGAAGCCTGTCCTAGAACTTGTTAAGTAGATCAGCGTGTCCTCAAACTCACAGAGATCTCCTTGCCTCTGCTTCCTGAATGCTGGCATCGTGTCAAGAAATACAGTAGTGACTGTGTACAGGGAAACCACCCAGGAAGACCAGGGCATCCAGAGTCTGTCCACATTGTGGTGATAGTTCTGCCTCCACCCATGGGAGGAAGTGAGCATGAGCCTGTTTCTGGTACACCTTCTGGTGAGCTGCTCAGAGTCTTCTGAGGTCTAATGACTGTGCCTGGGGAAACCAGTCCCAGCAGACCAGGCCATCCAGAGTCTGTTATCATCACGGTGCTAGTCTTGCCTCCACCAATGGGAAGAACAGAGCCATGGGAGTATTGGATCTGCTTGCACCCACTGGAAGAGAACCTTGGACCTGTAGCCAACAGAAGAGAGGTAGAGCCCACTGACACCCACTGGAAGAACGGATGGGAAGATGACAGTATAAGAATACATTCAATAGCAGAAAAACCAATATGACACCATCAGAGTTTAGGGACTCCATATTAACAAGACCTGAACATCCCAATACAGATGAAGCAGAAGAGAACAACCCTAAAAGCAAATTTATGAAGATGATAGAGACCCTCAAAGAGGAAATGAGAAAATCCCTTAAAGAAATGGAACAAAAAACAAACTAAAAAATTCAAGAAATGGACGAAAAGATAATCCAAAAATTGCAAGAATTAAACAAATCTCTTTAGAAAAAAAATCAAGGAAAGACAAGAAAAAAATGACCAAACAAGTGAAGGAAACAATTAAAACAGAGAAAGGCTTGAAAGTTGAAATAGAGACAATAAAACACACACACACACACACACACACACACACACACACACACACACACAGTCTGACGGAATGCTGGAAATAGAAAAGCTGGGTAAATGATCAGGAACTACAGATGCAAGCATAACTAACAGAACACAAGAAATGGAAGAGAGAATCTCAGCTGTTGAAGATACACTAGGAGAAATTCATTGACCAAAGAAAATCTTAAGTCCAACAAATCCCTAAACAAATATACAGGGAATATGGGACACTGTGAAAGGGCCAAACCTAAGAATAATAGGTATAGAAGAAGGTAAAGAAACCCAACTAAAAGGTACATAAAACACATTCAACAAAATCATAGAAAAAAAGTTTCCTAATCTAAAGAAAGGCATACCAGTGAAAGTACAAGAAGCTTACAGAACATCAAATAGAGTGGACCAAAAAAAGTTTCCTAACCACATAACAATCAAAACACCAAACATACAGAATAAAGAAAGAATATTAAGAGCATGAAAGGAAAAAAGCCAAGTAACAAATAAAGCGAAACTATCAGAATTACACCTGACTTCTCCATGGAAACTCTGAAAGCCAGAAGGTCCTGGATAGATATTCTACAAATACTAAGAAACCATGGATGCCAGCCAAGACTACAATACCCAGCAAATCTTTCAGTTGTTATAGATGGAGAAAACAAGATATTCCATGGCAAAACAAGATTTAAACAATACATATCCACTAATCCAGTTCTACTGAAAGTTCTGGAAGGAAAATTCCACCCAAGGAAATTAACTACACTCACAAAAACATAGGCAATAATAATCCCACTTTACCAACAGCCAAAAGGGGTGAGGAATCCATACACAATACCACCACCACCACCACCAAATCCAAAACAAACAAGAATTAACACTCATTAATATCCCTCAAAATCAATGAACTTAATTTGCCTGTAAAAAGACATAGGCTAAAAGAATGGATATGAAGACAGAAACCTTCTTCTGAATAAAAGAAACATACCTCAACTGCAAAGACAGACATTATCGCAGAGTAAAGGGTTGCAAAAATATTTTCCAATCAAATGGACCCAAGAAAAAAACATATAAACAAACTGAAAAAGGAAACCCACATGATCATCTCATTAGATGCTGAAAAATTCTTTGACAAAATCCATATCCTGTCATGATAAAGGACTTGGAGAGATCCGGAATAATAGAAACATACCTAAACATAATAAAAGCAATATACAGCAAACCAACAGCTAATATCAAACTAAATGGACAGAAAGTCAACGTGATTCCGCTAAAGTCATGAAGATGACAAGGCTGTCCACTGTCTCCACATTTCTTCAATATTGTACTTGAAGTTCTAGATAGAGTAATATGACAACAAAAGGATATCAAGTGGATACAAATTGGAATAAGGACATCAAACTTTCACTATTTGCAGATGATATGATAGTTTACATAAGTGACCTGAAAAATTCTACCAGGCAACTCCTACAGCTGATAAACACCTTCAGCACAGTGGCAGGAATCAAGATTAACAACAACAACAATAACAACAAAAACAAACAAACAAAAAACACCACTATCCCTACTATATACAGATGATAAATGGACTGAGAAAGAAATCAGAGAAACATCACCCTTTTATAATAGCCATAAAAACATAAAATATCTTGAGGTAACACTAACCAAACAAGTGAAAGACCTGTATAACATGAACTTTGAGTCTTTAAAGAAAGAAATTAAAGAAGATACCAGAAAATGGAAAGTTATCCCATGCTCTTGGATAGATAGGATCAGTATAGTAAAAATGGCAATCTTGCCAAAAGCAATCTGCAGACTCAATGCAGTCCCCATGAAAACCACCAGCACAATCCTTCACACACATTGAAAGAACAATACTCAATTTCCTATGATAAAAGAAAAGAACCAGGATAACAAAAACAACCTAGTATAATAAAGGAACTTCTGGAGGCATCACCATCCCTGACTTCACGTTCTATTATAGAGTTATACTCCTGAAAACAGTTGGCACAAAAATAGACAGGTAGACCAATGGAATTGAATTGAAAACCCTTGTATTAACCAGATGCCTATGAACACCTGATCTTTGACAAAGAAACTAAAATTATACAATGGGAAAAAGGTGTCTTCAACAAATGAGGCTGTCATAACTGGATGCTGGCATGTAGAAGACTGCAGATAGATCCATACCTATTGTCCTGCACAAAACTTAAGTCTAAATGGATCAAAGACCTCACCATAAATCCAGCCACACTTAACCTCTTAGAAGAGAAAGTGGGAGTAGTTGCAGGTGTGGAGATTGGAGTCGTTTGGTGAGCTGGTGGGACACGGGGCATCAAGGCTCAGTTCCAGGCCTGGGTGGGAGGATTTGGGGCAGGAGAGCCAGGAGGGATTCCGTGGGCGCGACCCGAGGCCTGAGGGGTCTGAGAGGGCGGGGTCTGAGGAAGCGAGCTGGGCTGACCCTGCTCCTGAGAGGGTCTGTAGTCCCAGAGCCAGCAGTCGCTCAGCCCCCAGGCTTCCATGGCGGTCAGAGCGGGTCGGTTGTTTTGCCAAGCTCACCAACACCTACTGCCTGGTGGCTATCGGAGGATCAGAGAACTTCTACAGTGTGTTCGAGGGCGAGCTCTCTGAAACCATCCCCGTGGTGCATGCATCCATCGCCGGCTGCCGAATCATCGGGCGCATGTGTGTAGGGAACAGGCATGGGCTACTGGTACCCAACAACACCACAGACCAGGAACTGCAGCATATCCGCAACAGCCTTCCAGATTCAGTGCAGATACAGCGGGTGGAAGAGCGGCTCTCAGCCCTTGGCAATGTTACCACCTGCAATGACTATGTGGCCTTGGTCCACCCAGACTTGGACAGGGAAACAGAAGAAATCCTGGCTGATGTGCTCAAGGTGGAGGTCTTCAGACAGACAGTTGCTGACCAGTTGTTAGTAGGGAGCTACTGTGTCTTCAGTAATCAAGGAGGTCTGGTGCACACCAAGACTTCAACCGAAGACCAGGACGAGCTGTCCTCCCTTCTTCAGGTTCCCCTTGTGGCAGGCACTGTGAACCAGGGGAGCGAGGTGATTGCTGCTGGGATGGTGGTGAACGATTGGTGTGCTTTCTGCGGTCTGGACACAACCAGCACGGAACTGTCAGTGGTGGAGAACGCCTTCAAGCTGAAAGAGGCCAAGCCTAGTACTATTGCCACCAGCATGCGGGATTCCCTCATTGACAGCCTCACATGAGTCACCTTCCGTGCTGCTGTGTGGGCCCCTGCCTCTGGACTTTGGCTCATTTTCCATGCCTGAGCTAGTATGTACCAAACGCTGGCAGCAGGGCATGGCAGAGAGCTTACCAGGGCTGAATGGTGAGCGCCCAACCCTTCTTCGCCTGTGCCGCCGTGACTATTCTAGAAAGGCTTGCCGTGTCATGCTGGCTTTCAGTTCCTGTGACTCCTGATGAGAACTCTGTCCCACCCCATTAAATACCTGCCTCCCACCTTAAAAAAAAAGAGAAAGTGGAAGGTACCCTTGAATGAACTGGTACAGGAGACAGTTTCCTGAACATAACACCAGTAGCACAGACACTGACATAGACCATTAATAAATTGGACTTCCTAAATCTGAGAAACTTCTGTAAGGCAAAGGACACAGTCAACAAACAAAAATGGCAGCCCACAGAATGGGAAAAAATATTCACCCACCCTACCTCTGACAGAGGGCTGATTTCCAAAATATACAAAGAACTCATGAAGCTAGTCACCAAAACACCAAAAAATCCAATTCAAAAGTAGGTTACAGAACTAAATAGAGAATTCTCAATAGAGGAATCCAAAATGGCTGAAAGACACTTAAGAAAGTGCTCAAAATCTTTAGCCATCAGGGAAATGCAAATCAAAATAACTCTGAGATACCATCCTGCACCTGTCAGAATGGCTAAAAATCTAAAACACCACTGACAGTTTATGCTGGAGAGGATATAGAGAAAGGGAAATCCTCCTCCACTGCTGGTGGGAGTATAAACTTGTACAGCCACTTTGGAAATCAGTATGGTGGTTCCTCAGGAAATTGGGAATCAGTATACCTCAAGATCTAGCCATACTGTTCTTAGGTGTATACCCAAAGGATGCACATTCTTCTGTGCAAATTGGGAGCACGGGGGAGGGGAGGGAGAGTTAGAAGAAAGAGAAGGGGAGAAAAGAAGAGGAGAAAAAGGCATGAGGCACCAGGAAGATTGGGTAGGCGAAGAATAGAGAAGAGCAAGAGAAGACATTCCTTAATATGGGGAGCCATTATAGGTTTAAAGAGATATATGACACTGGGGAAATACCTAGAGATACACCAGCATAACCCTAACTAAGAATCTAAGCAATAAGAGAGAGGCTATCTTAAATATCCTTCCCCTTATATGCCATCATAGAGCCTTCATCCAGTTGCTGTTACCCACTGCTAAACACTGAGCCTAATTCTTGGAACCAAGTTATAGATAGGGAGGAATGATGAGCAAAGGGGTCAATAACAGGCTGGGGAAATGCACAGAAACAGCTGACCTGAATAAGGGGCAGCTCATGGACCACAGACTGACAGCTTGATAACCAGCACAGGATAGAACCAGACCCCCCTGAATGTGGGTGTCAGTTAGAAGGCCTGGTCAGTCTGAGGGGCCCCTGGTAATGGAACAGCATTTATACCTGGTGTACAAATGGACATTGAGTGTGTATTCCCCACAGAGGGACACCATCTCAGCCTAGACACATGGTAAGTGCCTAGGCCCTGACCCAAATGATATAACAGACTTTGTTGGTCACCCATAGATATCCTACTCTATCTATGGTGCATAAGAGGGATGGAATGGGGCTAGGTGAGGGTCAGGGAAGGATGGGAGGAAGAGGTAACTGGGATTGATATATTAAATAATATTGTTTACAATTTAAATAAAAACGGGGAAAAAAGAAAGACGGTACTGCTCAATACATCAAGAAGTAGGCATGCAGCAAACCAACCCCAATCACTGAAAACCCAGAGAACTGGGACTAGCCTCTCCACACCCCAAACTACCCCCCAAAACATATGGGAATCCCTGGGCCTTGCCCCACCCACACCTGGAGAGGTGCCTGTGGCCCCAGGCAGAGGTTCCTACCCTCTAGGAACTAAACCTTGAAGGCACATCTGCCATCCCACCCCACTGAGCAAAGCCCCAGAGACCTGGCTACAGCTACCCCATACCGTAAACCACCCCCCACAGCACCCACAGCATCTGTGACCCCCTGAGCCCTGCCCTGCCTTACCTAGAGAGGTAAGTGTCTGGGTCCCTGGCTGGAGAATCCTACTCTCTAGACCCTACCAACTAGAGCCATATCCTATGTCCCACTCCCACTCGCCAGAGTAGGAGAGACTTGGCAACAGCTCCTCTGCTCCCCAAACCACCCCTCACAGCTTCTGTTATAACCAGAGCCTTGGCTCTGATTACATGTGGAGAGGGCAAGTATCTGGATCTATGGCTGGAGTACCCTGCTATTTAGGCCCTATCCCCTGAAGGTATATCCCATGACTCACCCCTGCCCAGAAGCCCCAGAGGCCTAGGGGCACTTTCATCACACCCTCAACCATCACCCATGACATATGCAGTGATCACTGGAGCTTTGGCCTTGACTATACCTGGAGGAGACCCAGAGCCATATCATCTTTCACCCCTTGCCTGCACCTGAAGGAAGAGTGACCACCTAAGCCACAGGCTTCACATATACCAACTGTAGGAAGAGGGACACCCTGAAGCATAAGTCCCACTTGCACCGACTAGAGGAAGGAATGAGTAGTTAATAGTGTAAGAATATGTTAAACAACGTTAAGAGCAATATGGCACCACCAGAAACTAGTGGTTCTACATCAGCAAGACCTGAAAACCCCAAAGCAGAACAAAACTTATGATGATGATAGAAGTCCTCAAAGAGGAAATAAAAATCACCTCAAAGAAGTAGAGGAAAAGGCAAACAAAACTTGGAAGAAATCAGCAAATCCCCTAAAGAAAGCCAGGAAAGGCTGGGAAAAACAAAGGAACAAGTGAAGGAAACAGTCCAAGTATTGACAACTGAAATACAGGCATTTAAAGTAAGCACAAACTAAGGTTATTCCAGAAATATAAAATCTGGGTAAATGATCAGGAGCTACAGATGCAAGCATAACCATTAGAATACAAAAGATGGAAAAGAAAGTCTCAGGTGTTGAAGATACAGTAGAGGGAATAGATTCATCAGTCAAAGAATGTTAAATCCAACAAATTCTTAACATAAAACATTCAGGAAATCTAGGACACTATGAAAAGACCAAACCTGAGAATAATAGAGATAGAAGATGGAGAAATCAAGCTCAACGTCACAAAAAATATATTCAAAATCATAAAAGAAAACTTTCCCAATCTAAAGAAAGACATTCCTATGAAAGTAAAATAAGTTTACAAAACACCAAATAGACTGGGCAAAAACCTCACTATAATATCAAAACACTAAACATACAGAATAAAGAAAGAATATTAGGAGCTGCAAAAGAAAAAGGACAAGTAACCTATAAAGCAGACCTATCAGAATTACACAGGACTTCTCGGTGGGAACTCTGAACACCAGAAGGTCCAAGATAGACATTCTGCAGACACTAAGATACCAAGGATGTCAGCCCAGACTGCTATACCCATCAAAGCTTTCAATTACTATAGACAAAGAAAGGAAGATGTTCCATGACAAAACCAGATTTAAAAAATACCTATCCACAATTCCAGCCCTACAGAAAGTACTAGAAGGAAAAGTCCAACACAAGTAAACAAGCTACTCCCAGACACACGCACACACACACAAACATGGGCAATAGATAATCCCACACTAGCAAAACCCAAAGATGGGAAACAAAAACACAATACCACCACCACCAACAAAACCAAAAATAGCATGAACTAACAATTACTAGTCATTAATCTCTCTAAATATCAATGTTGTAAATTCATCTATAAAAAGATACAGGCTACAATTAGATATAAAAACAGAATCCATCCTTATGCTGCACAGAAGAAACGTATCTCAACTTCAAAGACAGATATTACATCAGAGCAAATAGTTTGGAAAAGAGTTTTCAATCAAATGAAGCTAAGAAACAAGCTGGTATAATATTCTATTTTCTAACAAAATAGATTTCAAACTAAAATTAATCAAAAGATATAAAGAAGGGCATTTCATGTTTATCACAAGAAAAATCCATTAAGATGAAGTCTCAGTTCGGATTATCTATGCCCCAAATACAAGGGCATCCACATTTATAAAAGAAACATTACTAAACTTAACTCACACATCAAACCCCACAAACTAATAGGCAGAGACATCAACACCCCATTCTCACCATTATACAGGACCACTGGACAGAAAGTTAATAGAGAAATAAAGCCACTAACAGAAGTTATGACTCAATTAATTGGGTTTAACAGACATTTATAGAACATTCCACAGAAACACAAAATAATATACATTCTTCTCTATATCTCATGGAACTTTCTCTAAAATCTATCACATACTAAGTAACAAAGCAAACTTCAACAGATACAAAAACATTGTAATACCCCACTATATCTTATCAGATCACCAAGTCTTAAAGTTAGAATCGAAAACAACACTAATTGTAGAAAGCCCACAAACTCATGGAAATTGAACAATGCTCAACTGAATCACCCTTGTTTCAAAGAAGAAATAAAGAAAGAAATTAAAGACTTTCTATAATTCAATGAAATGAATATATAGCATATGCAAACTTATGGGACACGTTGGAAGCAGTGCTAAGACGAAAGTTCATAACACTAAATGCCTACATAAATAAACTGGGGAAATCTCACACTAGTAACTTAACAGCACACCTTAAAGCTCTAGAACAAAAAGAAGAAAACTCTTGGGCAGCAGATCAGTACCCATCCCAAGTATACACACGGACTTTGGACTCCCATAGAACAATGTGAGGTGCACTCTCACCCTGAACTCTTGGGGAAGGGTCTAGGCCCTGCCCTATATGAAATGACAGACTATGCACACCCCCATGGAGGGCCTCACCCTCCCTGGAGAAATGAGGGGATAACGGGGGGGGGGGGGAGGGCACGGGAGGAAGGGAGGGAATGGGAGAGGGACCTGGAACTGACTTGTGAAGCAACCTTGTTTCTTATCTAAATTTAAACTGGAAAATAAAATAAAAAAAAAGAAGAAGAAAACTCACCTAGGGGGAAATAGACGCCTGGAAATAATCAAATTGGTGTCTGAAACCAATAAAATGGAAACAAAGAAAACAATATAAAGAACCAATGAGACAAGAGCTGGTTCTTGGAGAAAATCAACAAGATAGACAAATCTTCATCCAAATTAACCAAAAGGCATACAGAGAATATGCAAACTAACAAAATCAGAAATTAAAAGGTGAGCATAACAACAGATACTAAGGAAGTTCAGAGAAATATCAGATCATACTTCAAAAACCTGTACTCCACAAAATTAG